CATATCTTCAGGTACGGTGGCATTTTGAAGGTTTTGGGAATTGCATGGGGGGCTGCTTTCTCGCTGTACGGTTGTTCGACGAATCGACCAACGTCTCGTTTCGGTAACAACTTTGGGGCGCCCGGTATCTTATCGACCCTTTCTTGATGCTCCTTCATCTGATCTCGAAACGCCTTGTTTTCGTTTTCCATTTCTTCCATTTTCTTTAGAATGGCTGCGAGTGCATCATTACCTGCATCAACAGTGGTGTGAGTGTTACCTGTTTGGGGGGCGGGCTGTTCGCATGTGGTTGTTGTGATATCTACGTGTGCGGTGTCTCTGTTCTCGCTTTTGACGGATTTATCGAGTATGTTGTTTAGAGTGTTTGTTAGCCACTTTTCTAGTAGTTTTTTCACCACCGGTGGTGCTTCATCTGTTGTTGACGTGGAGGCTCCCTTTTCACGTGAAGTAGTTACTCTTTCCGAGGGGGAGGCGAAGCACTCCGCCTGGGCGTATCACTTGGTGTCACGTTCTCATTGTCTTCCCTGCCATCTTCGTTGATGGTGTTCAGGATGTTGGTAGTGACACCTGCTATCGTTTTCAACCTCTCATCTCCTTTTCCTGCCATTGTTAGTTGGTGCAAATGAGGAAGAGGTTTTTTTTATGATCTAGAAAGAACTATTGTTTCAACTAAAAAGCTCCCCACAAACGGCGCCAAATTGTTTGAGTAAATAAATGCTAAACTAATTAGTAACAGGATAATGGGGTGAATCTCAGTTGAGCTTAATAAATCCTAAATCAAATAGAACGAAACTCTTGTATAGTGAGAAAGTTTAAGAGCATTAATTAGTGAGTTCAATATACTAAGATTGACAAAATATGCAATATCATAAATGTGCAATAAATGCAAGAAACGACAATGGTTATAGTGTAAAGGAACTGTCACCCAATGATTGTGTGATTGGGTGCTCTTCTCTCTGATGACGTGAAAAGGTATGCAGTTGATATGAATGTGGAATCTTTGAGATTTATAGATGAAAGTTGAATAACATGTGCTTGAATAAAGTGAATAAGACAGCTCTTTCGTATATTCTTCTCCCAACTTTACAATGTGTTTCTTGGTTCTCCAAAAGGCAGGTCCCCCCTTGGTTCCATCTCTCTTCCTATTTATAAGGGACATTCCCCAAGAACCCCTAAAAAGTACAACATATAGAATATCCAAAGGAATATTCTTCCAGTCTATTTCTGAGTTTAAGTGCTACTCTATCTCAGCTGCCCGCTTCTAGTTGTCGGCCTTTATTTGGACAACCGTCAGTCGCTGTATCGTGGTTGACCCCGTCCTATGTCCTGCTTATCCGTTACCGTGGTTACCAAATTTGGACCTATATACAGAGGAGTAAAATTGATCATTTGCGAAAAGAAATACACCGCTAGAAAACGTTTGTGACAGAGGTAAAAACTAGTGCCCATAATAAGAGGAAAGAATTTGATATCATTGGCATAGTGAAAGGCCTGACTCGATCTGGCTAAATAAAGGCATAGTAATACTGTAATAGTAGCAAGTAGTGTAATAATGGTAAGTGGTCTTAATTAGCAATTGCATCTGTTAGCCGAAGTTTGCGCATCCTCCTATTTTTACCATGCCACTAACATTTTGTAAGAAAATGTAAAACTGCTTCTATCTATTTTCTGCATCTTCCTCAGATCCCCTTACCCCATCTTCGTCTCATTTCTGGATTTAAGATCAAGTTATAGAGTTATCCCTCTCTTTACTAAACAATAAGACAAGTCTACAGAAAATCTACCTATTTCTGGCTCCTTCTGCCAATTCCAAATTGAAGAATACGAAACAAAAAGCTTCCATCTTTTTACACCCAAAGCGGCCGAGGAGAAGAAAACAGGTCCGGTGTGCTGAATCCTATGTTTCTTTCCTAAAACTCTTCTCTATTTGTCTGTGAGCTAAGCTCAAATACAAGTACGATCCGCATACCTGCTAGCTAGATCGGAAAGATCCAGATAGTATTGTAATCATCAATGGGGTCGTCTCAGTCGGTAGCCGTACCCTCTGAGGAAGATGAAGAGCAAGAAGATGAAGAAGAAGAAGAAGATGGAGAGCACGAGGAGAATGATACCCCAGATGAGAGACGTCAATTATTAGGTGGTGACGACGATACTACTCTGCTCAAGAAGGTTCTGGAACAAGAGCCCGAGATGTTACCTTGCCACGCCTCCGCATCCCCTCTCTCCCCTCAGCTCTCCTCTTTCGGCACCCCTCGTTTGGGCCCTTCCATTAAGGTGTGGGACCCTTATAATGTCCTGGCTCCCCCGCCCCCACTTCCGCCTCCCCCTCATTTCCACCGCACCTTCTCCTCTGATTCTGTGGATGACGATAGGACCCTCACCGAAGTCTATTTGATTAGTAATGGCGAGTGTCATATGAATTTAAGGCCTGATTTGATTGCCGGCCGATGTCCCGAGGCTGCACTTACCCCTAATGGCAAGCGCCAAGCCAGAGCTTTGGCTGTTTTCCTCAAGTCTCAAGGGATTCGTTTCAATTCTATGTATACATCTCCCTTGGATCGGGCTCGAGCTACTGCCCTCTCTGTTTGCCAGGTATCTTTCATTCTTTTCTCGTCCCTGTGATTGCTTTTATGTCAATGTCAGTTTCTCCGGTTATGATTGCTATTGTTGTAGGATTATCTAACTACTAAGCTCTGATCTTTTGGAATTTGATTGGAAATGTCAAAAATCAAATCCCTTTGCTTCCAGATTTCTATTTTTATGGGCCAGAAAAAAAAATGGAACACTTCACCAACCAATTAATGTAAAGTCCTATATGTTATACAATTATCAGCTGCAGGAGAACATGATTTTTCTTCATCAGTTCTAGGCAGATGCATGTTTCCTTTCGTTACTTGTAAGGTTTTCCTCTTATAGTGCTCCAGTAATTGTCAGGAGGCATAGTGATGCAGCTCTAAAAGAAACCATTTGAATTTGTTAGCTGCTTTAGTTTCAGGATTTATATGGCTGTGACTGTCTAAGTAGTTTGGATTTGGCAAGTTTGTAGTTGGAATTTCATACTACTAGTAGTTTGAACAAAGGTGAGCACAAACAACATATTAAAAGGTAACTTTTGGTTTCAGATGATCTAGGGATAACAGTTACTTTGGGGGATAAAAGTTAGTCGAATTCCTCTAGTAGAAATTACTAGCAAGATTCATACCGGAGGAAAACAAATTAAAGGGAAACTAATTGTATTTATCTAAGATAGGTAGAGTACACTATATTATCACCCTATATTACATTTCCACACAATATCATACTTGTGCATAGTGTATCAACGAAAGGGACAGCTAAATTAGTACCGCAAAGAAGAATTGCATATTCTGTAGTCGTGTAAGGCATAAATGGCTTCTCAGCAGACTTTGCGTGTCAAAAGCATTCTTACTGCCTTGACCACTAGCAAATCCAAAGATTATGTTGCTGTTCATTCAGAGCAGCTGAGCCACAGTTTAGCATCACATCTCAGAATTATGCAAGCTGCAAAGAAGCCCAACGTCGAGCTTCTTCAGTTCTTAAGTTCTGCTAGAAAAGCTTACTCTCTCTTGTATCTAGTTATGTGTTACAAAATTGATTTAAAAGTTGAATCTTTTCCATTCTTAGTGATGCATAGTATGAAGTTTTCTATGGGGATGATGATGCAAATTTCGACTGTAAGTAAAACACCTGAATTGGCCAAGTCCCAGGGATTAAGTGTAACGTGTTTTTTTTAATAACCGATTTAGTGTAACATATTATTAGTATGCTGTGTTAAGGCCTTCTAATTTTGGTAATGTATTGATTCATCTGTTAACTGTGCAGGAATTGAACTTTTCAGAGGAACGTATACAATCCTCTGATGCACTACTAGAAATGAGTCAGGGGCATTGGGAGGGATGCCACCGCTCGGATATATTTACACCTGAAACAATTGGTCTAATGGAAAGGTTCCAGCCTGATTTTTCAGCACCATCTGGAGAGTCACTGAGGCAGGTAGAATTTCGGATGGTACAATTCCTAAATGGAACTGTTATGGCATTGCCTGAAAAATTCAGATCTGATTTCTCCCCGCCAGATCAGAGTGAGAGCCAGGCTTTCTCAAACCGTGGTTCTCATGCACTTGTCAATTCAGTTCATGACCGAGATGGGCCGCCTTCATTCTCATCGTCTCATTGGGATTTGCACCACAGGAACCGACAAGGACTTTCGAGGAAGAAGTCTGGAAAGAGTAGGCTTCAGATCGTGACAACTACTGGGGATCATGAGGCTGATGATGAGATGTCACCTCGAGAACCCATTAATCCTAATTCCATCCGTGATTTGAATGTGCAAATCACTACTAATGTTTCTCAATGCATTGGTATTTTTACTCATTCAATCCCAATCAAGTGTCTTCTTACTGCCCTCCTTGGCTGCAGTGCAATGATGTCAAGTAAGATATGCATAGATGATTCTTCTGTTACAGTGCTACAGCATTCCTGGAAATTGGGATGGCAGATCAAGAGAATGAACGATACTGCACATCTTAGGCTTCTGTAGTAAATTATTCCATTTGGCAGCTGAGATCACTGAGAAAATTTAAGGATTTTGGCTTAATTAGGGAATTCTTCAAAGCATTCACAGGATGTGTATTCTACAACCAGAGTCAGATCACTGGATGATACTTTTGATGATTATCAATTTCTTTTGCAAAATTAATTTCCACTTCTCCAACTGCATCCTGAAACTGAATTGGAGTTGGAACCACGGTTGTGGATTATTGTTTCAGTTTGTAGCATTTTAAATTATTGATATTGTAGGGCATTTCTGGTGTGGCTTTATAATAAGCTGTTGAAAAAATCAGGCTGACTTTGTTCTGTAGTAGCTTCCTTTGCCTATTAATGATTTTTACTTACTAGTAATACTAGGCGATCTTTTACTTATAAAGGTTTATGCTTGGAATATTTTAACCCCCCAAATCCCAATTAGTGGTTAGGCACTACTACTAAGCAGGGGCGTAGTTAGAAGTCCGAATACAGGTTCGGCCAATCAGTAACTTTTGCTCAAACATTATATTTGTGTTAGAAAATTCATTAAAGATGTATAAATATTGAGTTTAGAACTTAGTTATCAGCACTTAAATTCGTAATTCTAATTCTGGCTCCACCTGCTATAAAGTACTACTGTCTAACAAAAATTGCAAACCACATTACTAGTCGTTTGAACTGGTTATACAAATTAAACAGTTCAGAGCTACAAGTGCCACCCTTTCCACTGGATGAATGAATGAATGAAGAACACTAATTTGGCTCCACTCTCTACAGTCTCCTATTTGTGTCGACGCCAATATTCCACAAATCCTAACCTGGCCAAGTTCTTCAACAGATACTTAGACAAATCTGATGTGTTCTCGTGGAACTCTATCATTGCCGACTTGGCTCGGAGCGGTGACTCCGTCGAAGCCCTTCGAGCTTTCTCTTCCATGCGAAAGCTCTCTCTCAAGCCAAACCGTTCCACCTTCCCATGTGCCATCAAATCCTGTTCCTCCCTTTCCGATCTCACTTCCGGCAAGCAGACCCACCAACAAGCTCTCATCTTTGGTTATGAAACCGACCTTTTTGTATCCTCCGCCCTCATTGATATGTACTCCAAGTGTGATCAACTTGCTGATGCACGAAAGCTGTTTGATCAAATTCCTCAAAAGAATGTTGTTTCTTGGACCTCCATGATAACTGGCTACGTCCAAAATGACCAACCCCATGAGGCGCTCTCGCTTTTTAAAGAGCTCTTGGCAGGCCAAGCAGAGGAACTAGTTTCTCTTGACTCGGTTTCCATGGTTTCCGTGCTATCCGCTTGTTCTCGTATTTCAAGGAAGACCCTTACCCAAGGGCTCCATGGTTTTGTCACGAAAAGGGGATTCGATGAGGACCTGGGAGTTGGGAATACGTTAATTGATGCCTATGCTAAGTGTGGTGAGGTTGATTTGTCCAGGAAGATGTTTGATGTGATGCCTGAGAAGGACATCATTTCATGGAATTCTATGATCGCAGTTTATGCCCAGCACGGACTTTCATCTCAGGCACTGGAAATTTTTCGTTCCCTGGCGTGGGATAGAGAGGTTGACTACAATGCTGTCACCTTATCAGCCGTGCTGTTGGCTTGTGCACATTCAGGAGCTCTTCAGGCTGGCAAGTGCATACATGATCAGGTACTTCAAGACTAACCACCTTTATAACTGCTGCATTCTTTCTGACTCCTTATTTTTTAACTGTATTGATGTTCTTAGTTGTCTATTCGACTTTGATCTCTTTAGGTTATAAAAATGAACCTAGAGGATAATGTATTTGTGGCTACGTCCATGATTGACATGTACTGCAAATGTGGAAGATTAAGGATGGCGAGGAATGCATTCAATCGGATGAAGGAAAAGAATGTGAAATCATGGTCTGCCTTGATTGCAGGTTATGGTATGCACGGTAGAGCCAGGGAAGCCCTTCAAGTATTTTACGAGATGAACTTAGCTGGGGTAAAACCAAATTATATTACCTTTGTCTCTGTCCTAGCAGCTTGTAGCCATGCTGGGTTGCTGGATGAAGGGTGGTATTGGTTTAAGGCGATGGAGCCTAGATATTGCATACAACCAGGAGTGGAGCATTATGCTTGCATGGTTGATCTTCTTGGACGTGCTGGTTTCCTTGCCAAGGCATATAATTTGATAGAAGAAATGAAGGTGACACCTGACTTTGTTGTTTGGGGTTCTCTTCTAGCTGCATGCAGGATGCACAAGAATGTTGAGCTTGGGGAGATTGCTGCTAGGAACTTGTTTGAATTAGACTCAACAAACTGTGGGTATTATGTTTTGCTCTCAAACATATATGCTGATGCTGGGAGGTGGGAAGATGTAGATAAGATGAGGATACTTATGAAAAATCGTGGATTAAGTAAACCTCCTGGGTTCAGCCTGCTTGAACTCAAAGGCAGAGTGCACATATTTCTTGTTGGTGATAGAGAACACCCACAACATGAGAAGATTTATGCATATTTGGAGGAATTATCTGTAAAGCTGCAGATAGCTGGCTATGTACCCAACATGACATCTGATCTTCATGATGTTGAGGAGGAAGAGAAAGGACTGACATTACGAGTTCATAGTGAGAAGCTCGCTGTTGCTTTTGGGGTTATGAATTCCGTCCCTGGTAGTACAATTCAGGTGATTAAGAATCTTAGGATATGTGGAGACTGTCATACAACAATTAAGCTAATTGCCAAGATTGTTAATAGGGAAATTGTAGTCAGAGATGCAAAGAGATTTCACCATTTTAAGGACGGCTTGTGCTCCTGTGGGGACTATTGGTGATTCAAGCATGGAACAAAATTTCATGTCTGCCGAGACTTCCGGGAGTTGTCATATGATCTGCAGTGGTGCTTAAAGTGATAGAGATTCGCAGCAGAATTGATCTTCTTCAATGGTGCGTCAATCTCACACTAGGTAGTCGGCTATATGAATCCTCCATATCCATCTTGCTCTATTCTTCATTATTCAACAGAATTCGTCATAGCTCGGCTATTTTTATGCTGGTCTTATGCAGGATACTAATATCCGATTGATATTCCCCTGTTGTGTGGTATGTACAAGACCAAAAGAGAGAAAGCGGATCAATAAACAGAAGTTGGACAGAAAGTAAAGGCAATTTTTTTTTCCTGTGAATTCATCGCCTGCTCGATTCTTCACTATTCAACCTCTTGTATCCACTATGGAGAAAGCTGAACCTTGTTTGTTTGAAACGAACATGTCATTTGGGTTGTCCAGAGTTTTGTGGCTATTTTTGTTTACATCAATTTTGGAATTCTGCCAGCATTAGCATTTAGCAAAACTGTTTTTCACCTTGAAAATACTTTTTACAATGTTACACCGGTGGATATTAAGGTATGTAAGAAAACAGTAAATATTGAAGGTGGATATGATTTTGGTGGTTGTTTTGAGTGCTGAAGCTTGTAGTTTACGTGTTGTTTAAAGCAAATGATATGAAATACTAATAGCGTGTTCGGCCAAGCTTTTTTTTTGGGCCAAAAGTGCTTTTTTTGGCCAAAAAATGAGGTGTTTGGCCAAGCTTTTGAAAGGAAAAAAAGCGCTTTTGAGGAGAAGCAGAAGCAGTTTTTGAGAAGCAGAAAAGTAGCTTCTCTCCAAAAGCACTAATTACTACTCAAAAGTGTTTTTCAAATTAATTAGCCAAACACAAACTGTTTTTCACCAAAAGCATTTTTTTAAAAGTACTTTTGAGAAAAGCACTTCTCAAAATAAGCTGATTTTAGAAGCTTGGCCAAACAGGCTATAAGAGGTATGTATTGTTATTGATATGAAAATGACTTATTCCATAAATGACAATCATTTCACTATTTGGTGCAAACATTCTTATTAATGGAAACATTAATAATACCAAATATGGAAAAATAATAGTACTATAAGAATATTTTCAAAGGGAAACTTAATGTTATACTAAAACGATAAAAAGAAAATAATAACATGTTGATGCCTGTTTGTTTCTATTCAAGAGAGATAAAGAAGAAGAAAAAAATGAAAAAGTAGCACTGTAGTAGTTCCAACTTCCATGTTGTATTACAACGTTCTCCCCCTCCCCCCTCTATTTTCTTTCTCTGGAATGAGCTCAATGAAGAACTCTAATAGTGCAGTCCTAAGGAATTGAAGGTGAAGAACAATTCCTGAGCACTAAAGCTTGAGAATTAGAGTTGAGAGAATATAGGGATTGGAATTATTGATAAAGAATGATTCTTACAAAATGCGATGCCTCTTCTCAATTCTGTTACACAGTATTTAACCCCTCTAATTGTAACTAACTTCCTAACTACCTTACCAGCTTTCTAACGACTTGATCGAAATGACTAAAGTGCCCCTAGTTTTAGCTATACAAATGTCTAAGATGCCCCTGTTATATCTCTTCTATAATTTGCCTATAACATTCTCTCTTGCCTTTTGTCTAATCTGAATTGATCTTCAAAAAAAAAAAAGTATTCAAGTTGCTGGCACCCACCATATCTTGCTTCGGGGCCGCTCTCTTGTATCGGAGCAAACAAATTCCAAGTGGTACACTTGGGCCCCGTTTGGCCATGAATTTTGCCAAAATAAATTTGGGATTTATTTTCAAAACTTATGTTTGGCCATAAATTTTGCCCATATTTTGGCCAAATCCCAAATCCCAAAATCAGCTATTGAGCTGATTTTGGGCCAAAACCCAAAACTTGGAATTATATACATGTTTTTCCAAAATAAAGTTGGAAAATATGTTTTGAAAACGTATGTCCAAACACATTTTCATCTTCAAACCAAACTTCACCCAAATTAAATTTTTCAAAATAAATTTGGGATCTATAGTCAAACGCTAGCTTGAAGTGGGCCGCGTAAATGCATTTGGTGGGTGAGTGCTCCAATTTCATTGATTCTCCCGATGCAACACGTCTAGGGAATATTCCGCTGAGGTCCTCAATTTGAATTTACCATCATGCCCATTGCATTGTTCTTTGCTCAACTGTTGTTCTACCTTCTCTTTTTGACTTTTGGGGGTCAAAAAATCCAGTTGAGACCTGCTTCATGAGCATGCCAATGCACATCAACAACATTTGCGCTGAGTGAGCCTTGGAAAAGATTATTTCGTCGACACACTTCAATAGTATTCAAGCAAAAGAGAGATGAAAACATATATGCATAAGTTAACTAATCCATCTCGTTACCATGTAGATAGTGATTTTGTTGTTATTGCTGCCTCCACATGAGCCCTCAATTATTGAGCCGACCTCTTTCACTTAGAAGAATACAATCTTGGCCTAGCCTTCTGAATTTTACCTTTTTTTACCACAAATATCACAATACATACACCGCACAAATGCAACTAAGTTTCCTAGCTTAGCAAAATGAAGTAAGTTTGATTATGGCTCGGGAGATGAAGGAAATGAGAGAAGAAAAGAGTAGACTAGCTGTGCTAAGACTCACAAAAATGATAATTGGAAGTTGAGAAGGAGTTCAACTTGAAATCATTGTTTATTGTTGAATTATGCCTCATGAGTTGTTAGTTTGACGCTGAGTTGGAATGATGACTAAGGTGCTGATGTGTCCTTTAAATTGCAGAGAATAACTTAGATATTATCTGGATATTATTAGTTGTAGACTTCCTAGTCTTAAGATTTTTCAGTTGTGATTTCCCTAGTCTTTAGGCATGAAGAAGTTGGTGGATTAGTTCCATCATATTAGGAAGTTTCAGTTTCAGTTTTTTACTGCTATTCAGTTAGGATTTCTGGTGTATTTAAGCAGCTTCTTTCAGCTTAATAAAATATATCTTCTTTTCCTTTTTAAGTCTGTTGTTTTCTATTTGAATAACGCCTTCAAATTGGTATCAGAGCTCTTTTTTCTTAAAGGACCTGTGAGTGACTTGTGAGTGTTGACTGAGTGAGAAACAAAAAGCCAACCTACTTCCCTGAAAAGCCATCATAACACATGGAATCTGAAAACTCTACTAGTTCTTTTGCAATTCCGCCGCCAGTGTTTCATGGAGAGAATTACCAGGTATGGGCAATCAAGATGAAAACTCACATAGAGGCATGTGATCTCTGGGATGCAGTAGAGGAGGATTACGACATTCCTGCTTTACCTGGCAATCCAACAATGGCTCAGATCAAACTTCACAAGGAAAAAAGGACAAGGAAGTTCAAGGCAAAATCTTGCTTATATGCTGCAATCTCACCAACCATTTTTTCCCGAGTCATGGCGCTGGAATCAGCAAAAGCAATTTGGGATTTTCTTAAAGAAGAATACTAAGGAGATGAGAGAATCAAAGGCATGAAAGTGATGAATCTCATCAGAGAATTTGAGATGCAAAGAATGAAGGAATCCGAAACTGTCAAAGAATACTCGGATAGACTTCTTAGCATTGTGAATAAGGTAAGAATGTTGGGTAAGAATCTTCCTGATAGCAGAGTTGTTGAAAAGATTCTTGTAACATTGTCTGAGAAGTTTGAACCCACTATTGCTTCCTTAGAAAATACTAAGGATCTGTCACAGATAACCTTGGCAGACTAAACGCATTGCAAGCACAAGAGCAGAGAAGGTTAATGAGAGAAGAAGGGACAGTAGAAGGTGCATTACAGGCGAAGTTGCAAAGTAATGCCGGAAGCAGATACAAGAAAGGAAAAGGAAAGAAGAACCATGCTGGAAACAATCAAGTTGCTGCTAATAATGGTGGAGGCAACAACTCTAGCAGCAACAAAGGAGATAAGTTCCCTTCATGTCAGCATTGTAGAAGGAAGAATCACCCTCACTTCAAATGCTGGAGAAAGCCGGATATGAGATGCAGAAAGTGCAACAAGTTGGGGCATGCTGAAATAATTTGCAAGTCTAAAGATAATCAGCAAGAAACTGAAGCTCAGGTTGCAAATCAGCAAGAAGAAGAGCAGTTATTTGTCGCAACTTGTTTTATGGGCAGCAGTTCCAGCGACAGTTGGTTGATCGATAGTGGTTGCACTAACCACATGACAAATGATGAAACACTCTTCAGGGAGCTTGATAGATCTGCAACATCAAAAGTCAAGATAGGCAATGGTGACTATATTGCTGTAAAAGGAAAAGGAACAGTGGCTTTTGAAACCTACTCAGGTACTAAAACTATCTCTGATGTTCTTTATGTGCCTGAAATTGATCAAAATTTATTAAGTGTTGGACAGCTATTGCAAAAGGGTTTTAAGGTGATCTTTGAAAATCAAAAGTGTCTTATTAAAGACGTCAAAGATCAAGATTGTATTCAGAGTAAAGATGAAGGGAAAAAGCTTCACATTGGATCCAATGGATGAGGAACAAGCTACTTTTCAAAGTCTGGTATCCAACACGTGTATTTGGCACAAAAGGTTGGGCCATTTTCACCACAGGGCTCTTTTGTATATGCAACAAAAAAGAGCTGGTCAAAGGTTTACCTCCACTTGAAGAAGAACTTCCAAGTTGCGAGGCATGTCTAATTTAGGAAAGACAAACAAGATTGTCTTTCTACAAAATCAACTTGGAGAGCAACTTAAAAACTGCAGCTAGTTCATACAGATATTGGAGGCCCTCTAAGAACTCCATCTTTGAATGGAAGCAGGTATTATATCATTTTTATTGATGATCTAACAAGGATGTGTTGGATATACTTTTTAAAGTTCAAAACAGGAGTTGCTGCACTTTTCTCAACTTTCAAAGCCTTGGTAGAAAATCAAAGTGGCTGCAAAATACAGGTGCTCAGGTCCGATAATGGGACCGAGTACACTTCAGATCAATTCAAAAGGTTTCTTGAAGATGCTGGAATAGAGCATCAACTTACTGCTCCGTATACTCCGCAGCAAAACGGAGTAAGCGAAAGGAAGAATAGGACTATTATGGAGATGGCACGATGTATGCTGCACGAGAAAGGGCTTCCAAAAAGTTTTTGGGCAGAGGCAGCCAATACTGCTGTTTTTCTGTTGAATAGGCTGCCTACAAAAGTAGTGAATGGTCAAACACCTTTTGAAGCTTGGCATGGGTATAAACCTTCCCTAAAGAACTTAAAAATTTTTGGTTGCTTATGTTTTTCTTACATACCTCAGGTGAAAAGGGATAAGCTTGATAAGAAAGCTGAACCAGGAATTTTTATTGGCTATAGTTTGGTGTCAAAAGCTTTCAGAATTTTTCAACTGTGATAAGCAGAGATGTAGAATTTGTTGAACAAAAGCAATGGAATTGGGAAGGAGACATGCAGGATATGGAAGCTGAGTTGCATAATTTTGAGGAGCGGATTAATGATTTTCCAGTTAGAGGAACCAGATCACTTTCAGACGTTTATCAGAGATGCAATGTCGCAGTCTTTGAACCTGCCGAATATGCCGAAGCTGAAAGAGACAAGAAATGGATAGATGCAATGAAGGAGGAGCTGACCATGATCGAGAAAAATGACACTTGGGAGCTGGTTAACAGACCTCAAAACAGAAAGATCATTGGAGTTAAATGGGTTTACAGAACTAAGCTAAATGCAGATGGCTCCGTGAATAAACACAAAGCTAGGCTTGTGGTGAAGGGCTACGCTCAGGTTTTTGGTGTAGATTTTTCAGAGACATTTGCACCCGTGGCAAGACTCGACACAATCAGACTCCTTTTGGCAATTGCAGCACAAAAGGGTTGGAGAATCTACCAAATGGATGTCAAATCAGCTTTCTTGAATGGTTTCTTGCAAGAAGAAATCTATGTTGAGCAACCAGAAGGATTTGTTGTGGAAGGTCAGGAAGATAAAGTTTACTTGCTGAAAAAGGCCCTCTACGGATTAAAGCAAGCTCCAAGGGCTTGGTACAGTAGAATTGATGATCATCTTTCTGCCTTAGGTTTTCAGAAAAGCCTAAGTGAATCAACTCTTTACATAAAACATACTAACTCTGACATTGTGATTATTTCTCTATATGTTGATGATCTTTTGGTAACAGGAAGTAATGTTGAGCTTGTTGAAGGGTTTAAAAGAGAGATGATGAAAGTTTTTGAAATGACAGATCTTGGAGAGATGGCTTTCTTTCTTGGAATGGAGATTAAACAAAGCCAAGATCAGATATTCATTTGTCAGAGAAAGTATGCGAAGGAAATTCTAAAGAAATTTAGAATGGAAGACTGCAAAAGTATGAGCACGCCTATGAATCAAAAGGAGAAGTTGATGAAGGAGGATGGTGCTGAACGCGTACTAGAAGGAAACTACAGAAGCTTGATAGGATGTCTGATGTATCTTACAGCAACAAGACCAGACATATTGTATGCTGTAAATGTACTATCCAGATTTTTGAATTCTCCAAGTGAAATTCATGCGAAAGCTGCAAAAAGAGTGCTCAGGTATGTCAAAGGTACAATAGATTATGGAGTCAGATTCAGCAAGTGCAAGAATTTCAAACTTCAAGGATATTCTGACAGTGATTGGGCTGGTTCTATTGAAGATATGAAAAGTACCTCAGGGTACTGTTTTAGTTTTGGCTCAGGCTGTTTTTCTTGGTGTTCGAAGAAGCAAGAGACTGTCGCTCAGTCAACTGCAGAGGCAGAATACGTTGCTGCTACAACTGCTGCTAATCAAGCTTTGTGGATAAAGAAAATCTTATGTGACCTAGGCCTGGAGAATGAAGAAAGCACTGAAGTTTTTGTAGACAACCAAGCTGCTATTGCTATTTCACACAATCCAGTATTTCATGGAAAGACCAAACATTTTAATGTGAAGCTGTATTTTTTGAGAGAAGTGCAAAAGAATGGTCAAGTGAATCTGGTGTATTGTAAAACAGAAGAGCAAGTGGCTGATATATTTACAAAAGCTCTTCCAGCAAGCAGATTTGAGTTCTTGAGAACCAAACTTGGGATTTACAGCTCTTGATGCAAGGAGGAGTGTTGAATTATGCCTCATGAGCTGTTAGTTTGACGCTGAGTTGGCATGATGACTAAGCTGCTGATGTGTCCTTTAAATTGCAGAGAATAACTTAGATATTTTCTGGATATTATTAGTTGTAGACTTCCTAGTCTTAAGATTTTTCAGTTGTGATTTCCCTAGTCTTTAGGCATGAAGAAGTTGGTGGATTAGTTCCATCATATTAGGAAGTTTCAGTTTCAGTTTTTTACTGCTATTCAGTTAGGATTTCTGGTGTATTTAAGCAGTTTCTTTCAGCTTAATAAAATATATCTTCTTTTCCTTTTTAAGTCTGTTGTTTTCTATTCGAATAACACCTTCATTTATTCATTGCAAGTATTTTTTATATTTTTTTTGATATTTCTACATCTATTTATTCATAGAGAGTGAAAAACAAAAGTTTCATCTAGTTAGTCATAAGTTACTTAAACTAGCACAGATTTAGGCAGGTTGCATGTAAAAGACGAAATAAATATTCATTTTTAGTAGCCACAAGGATTGTTCAAGAGGCAAAGATTGAGGGGCTTGTGATTTAAGTCACATGTTTGACCCCTGCTTCATACGAATTAAGCCTAATATTTAAGTACTGGAGAAGAGTAGAGTATGAGTCCATCATTCTCAAGTTTTAAAATCCGCAATTGATCCTAAGGGTTCCCCGGAACAAGTTTCTCGGTCATTAAAACAATATTCAAATTTAAGTAGGTGAACTGGTGAAGGGTGTAATTGATTTGGTAAAATAATAAGCATTTTCTTTAAGGAAAAATTTCACATTAGAACAACTGGGCTCCCTACTTTTCAATTTTATAGCCCATATTTCAATTTACAACCAACTAACCCAAAAATAATAGGCTAAGATTCAACATCCAACTCTAATAGGTTCTCAAAATTACTATTTAATTTTTAAAAAAGATTCCTCAACCTTTTAGGTTAATTTTCGAATCAGTAACTGTGACTCAAATATTAGTTCAACAAACCAAATCCATTTGGGTGGTGAAAATTAGATTTTTAACAAGCTTAAATATGTGGGTTTAAATTCCGAATTTGATTTTGTGAGAAATTTGGAGTGGGTGTTATTTAGACTTGTTAAAAATAGTATAAGGAGGTTGTATATAAAATTTGAAGTCATTTAATGGAGATTTGGACTGGTTTTGAACAAGAATTGCAACTGAAAATCATGGAAGAAGTTCGTCTACAGACGTTTGTATAAAGGTGTATAAAAGTGTATAATAGTGTATAAGGTGTGTTTATACACTCATATACACTATTATACAAGATTATACAAAATTATACAAAACACTGACTTCGTCTTCTTCCTTGCGTCTTTTCTGAAATTTAACTCAAATCTACTCCAAATTACTTCAAATTTAAATCTTGAACTCCTTTTGATATTTGCAATCAACTGGAACAACACCCAATCCAAATAACTAACAAACTCAAAAAATCATATTTTCGAAAGCAAAGCTTTGAATGGTCTTCAATGGTGGACTTCTACTTTTCAATTTTCTTGCATTGCAACCAGGTGTCACATGGGGAGAAACAGAAAATACTCAGCCCCTTGAAGCATATGTAGAAGATGTGAGAAGAAGAGAGAGTGAAAGCAATGGTTGTGAGAATACATATTTAAATCCATAGCTTTTAGAAGCAATGATTGTAAGAACACAAATTTTGAATTTGGCAGTGTTTTGAAAATATATATAATATGGGCTAGTAAGGTAAAACTTAAAAACATGGACCATTTTTTATTATGGTGTGAAGTCATGTGTATTTTCTTGTAATTGTTTCTTTCTTTTAACACTAAAATGATGGCATGATAAATGGCTCATATGATTCTGATTAGGAAAGAAACAAATGATGGCGGGGGCATAAAAGTAAATTGAGACACTAGGGCCTGTACACACTGTATTGGTCACTCCGTGTAAATAACGCAAAGAGCATGGCTGATTGGTCAGTATAAAAAGGTGGAAATTTTTATTGTATATGAATTAGGTCCAAAAGCTATTGGGAGAGCGAGAGGAGAAGGTTTTCAGTCCTCTGCAATACTTTGCCCTCGCCCATTTCTCCTCGCTTCCGATCTCTCTCTGCGCCGTCACAAACTCATTTAGCCATGGAGAACTCACGCCGTCAGTCCCTTCTTCCAAGCTTCCTCTACACTCCATCTTCGTTTTCTTCTTTCACTCCCAAAACCTTTGCTGTTCCCGAGAACACCACCAGTGTGTTGCCCGCTGCACATCCGTCGTCCACCAACAAGAGCTTCGTGATTCCTGCACCTAGCGAACCTGGAAAGATCGAGATGTACTCACCGCAATTCTACGCTGCCTGTACCTTCGGTGGTATCCTCAGCTGTGGTCTCACTCACATGGCTGTCACTCCTCTTGATCTCGTCAAATGTAACATGCAGGTATCGATCCAATTTCATTTACGCTTTGCTTTTCAGATCTGTCCATTTCTGACGCGATCGTTGACTTCTCAACTCTTTTAAACATTATTGTATGCTACTTTTGTGTGTGTGTAGATCCGATCTATACTCTTCTGGCTTGAATATCATTGCGCATGTTCTAGATCTAAATTTGTAACGTGACTAGCAGGACTGATTTTATTGGCAAAAGTGTTGATTGGTGATTTCTCTGTATAGAGGAGGAGGCGTTATTATTTTGTTTAAGATTTAATTGGAAATTATTATTTTGGATCTTAGTCTATCATGTGTGTAGTAGTTTGAATGATATTAAATGTGAAATGTTCCTCTACATGTCACAAAGCGAGGAAGCAAGGTTGCCTTTTCATTTAATTTTGATTTGTATTATCTTTAGATATATGGAAAGGGGTAGGAGTGTGCTATTCAGACTTGGTTGTTTCCAATCTCATCCTTCACATGTCACTTTTGCTGATTATGATTGTGCAGTTTGTCAACACGAGAATGTATTGGACTCTCGTGCTATTATAGTCTTAGTCTCAGTGCTTTTTAACCCTGAACCTTGCTAAACTATCCTACTCAGTCACCGCGTGGTATTATTGCTTAAGAGTCTTCTCTGCAGCATTAGTTAAAGGTTTTCAAGTAGATTGAGGAAATGGCATTTGAAAACTTGGATAACTTTTATTTAGATTTGTGATTAAAGAGCTTCATTTTTACACGTTTGGACATTGTGCTCGTAATGGTCCTAGATCTTTTACTGTACTGACTTTCCTTCTCAATGGGATAGTTTCTCATTTGCTAGCTTCCCCTTTTATTTTTCTTAACTATGGTATGATTGTCTTCATGTGTGAAAATATTCCCTTAGTAATTAAATTGTTTTTATTTTCTTACCGAGCATTAGTAATGAAGCATCTAAACTGACTGAAATTTTATAAATTCCTAGATTGACCCCGCAAAATACAAGAGCATATCATCTGGATTTGGAGTGCTGCTTAAGGAGCAAGGTGCTAAGGGCTTCTTCAGGGGATGGGTTCCTACTCTTTTGGGTTACAGTGCTCAGGGTGCATGCAAGTTCGGATTCTATGAATTCTTCAAGAAGTACTACTCTGACCTTGCTGGAGCAGAAAATGCTGCAAAGTACAAGACTCTGATATACCTTGCTGGTTCTGCATCTGCGGAAGTGATTGCAGACATTGCTCTTTGCCCATTTGAAGCTGTAAAAGTTCGTGTTCAGACACAGCCTGGTTTTGCTAGGGGATTGTCAGATGGATTACCAAAATTTGTAAGATCTGAAGGAACCATGGGGTATGCTATTATCATTGTTGTTAGCACGTTCCTTAATCTGTACCTTATAGAACATATTTTAATATTTTGTTATATTTTTGCAGCCTGTACAAAGGTTTGGTTCCTCTTTGGGGACGTCAGATTCCATGTAAGTGGAACCATCTGTCTTCTACTGTTTGTTGTTATTTACTAACTTGCTTATTACCTGGGATATTTTAATAATGCGACTAGGGCTTTGATATCCATATGATTACCCAAATGAGTGAGAAGCATTTTGATGTTTGCTAGAATTCGTAAAACTTAGGGTCTGTTAGTTGGACCTGTCTTAAAAAAACAATAGAAACTCCAAATGCGGGACCTCCCCTCGCTACCCCCCAAAAAGATCGTTGGAATAGTTATTTGAGAAAATTAAATTTTCATTTCTCTGTTAAATAAAACAAATAGAGAGATTTCCTTCTCCATGTATGTTTATTAAATGTGGACAGTCACCTTACATAGAACTGCAAGAGTTTCTCTAATTAGGATCCAATGGGTCCCAGAAGGCCTGGAAGTTGAAGATGGCTAGATAAGGGCTTATGTCTGGATGCAGCAGTAATTAATTGTCATAGCTGATAGACTTCATCAAAAAAATTGTCATAGCTGATGGAAATTTCTCGTCTCTTTCTTGTTCTGGTAATGACTTCCTTTTTTGGTTAGGTGAAAGCTAGAAAGTTAGCTCTCAAGCACCTTCACTTGTTCGAGCCAAGTAAATAGGGTCACTTGTTGAAATACTCTGCTTTATATTAAGAACTTATTGCATCTTTCTTCGGAAGACGAAATATTGCACGTAAGCCTATGATCTAAGTACATTGCAAGTTTTAATATGCTTGGCCATTAACATACTATTCCACAAAATTGGGTATTGAACTTTATGGGGAGCTTGGGGAATGAAAGGGGAAGGACAGGACTAGTGGAAGGGGGCAATCAGAGGGAGAGCAGAAGCTTCGGGAGGAAGGGGACATAATAGGGCTTGGACTGGAGTATGATTGGATGGAGGTTGGCGATTTAAGTAAAATGGGTAAACTAGAGTGAGAATGTTTTTTTCCTTGGGGGGGGGGGGGGCAAGCATAGGTCTGGGATTCATTAGTTTCTAAGTTGGATATTCGAATGATGGAAATTCTTGCTCAATTCTTTGACAACATTCCCTTCTATTCATATGTTTAGATGCTCTTACTCTTCGGCTATGTTGCGCGGATTCTCCAAAACAGCTGCCGCACCCGTTTCAGATCCTCCAAAAATACACTATCTTTGGAGGATCCGACACTCACCCATCGATATTTTCGGAGAGTCCGAGCAACATAGCTCTTCGGAAATACAGTAGGATTCGAGGGTAAGAATTTTTGAACCTTTTTGCTGTTATAGCTTGTGATTTAAAGCAATACAGATTAAGGGCTGGGAAGGTCCATGTCATGATGTTTTCTGCTCTTGGTAGGTTTTAGAGGGAGGCCCATTTTTGGTTCAAGTGGAGTCGTCCTAGTAATTCACCTAAAGCTTTCCTTCTTGATTCGGTCTTTCATCTTTTTTTTTCTCTTTCTCTACTTGCACGACACAAATAAAAGTATAATCCTGCGATGTTGCAGAGCCTGAAACATGATGCCTATTTTATCACACTACTGCGTATTTGTTTTATTAGTGCATATCTGTTTGTGCTATTGTTCTTCTAATTTTGATTTTTTTGAGTTGCTATTTGTTGTTGGACATTAAGGATTAAACATCGTAAATTGCAGATACAATGATGAAGTTTGCGTCCTTTGAGACTATTGTGGAGATGATCTACAAGCATGCAGTCCCAAAGCCTAAAAATGAGTGCAGCAAATCTATGCAACTTGGTATTAGCTTTGCTGGTGGATATATAGCCGGTGTCTTCTGTGCTATTGTATCCCATCCTGCTGACAATCTTGTCTCATTCCTCAACAATGCCAAGGGTGCAACTGTTGGTGATGTAAGCATTTCGAAGCTTCTATCGTTTGTTGCGCCATCTCTCTTTTCGCCTCTTATTTTTTTGAAATGTCCTCAAGTCATTAATCTGTCACGTGAAACCCGCCATTTGTTTCTGACAAAAAACTATTTCCTCAGGCCGTGAAGAAGATAGGAGTAGTGGGTCTCTTTACCCGTGGGCTACCTCTACGTATTGTCATGATTGGAACTCTTACTGGTGCTCAATGGGGAATCTATGATGCTTTCAAGGTTTTTGTTGGGCTGTAAGTCTCTTCTTCTAACACTTAGTTGGACATTCTAAACCTGTCTACCTTTCCTGTATCAATCTACTTTGAGAACTTAATAAATATGTTTGGCTTATTTTTTCTGATGCGATTTCAGGCCAACAACTGGAGGAGTTGCTCCTGCTGCACCTGCTGCCTCTGAGGTTGCAAAGGTGTAGGGTCGAGTACAAACTAATTCTTCGCCAAGCCTAGAAGTAGTAAGAGAAGACTTCTCCAGACGAAACAATAAACACAGATTGCCGATGTTTCTCTAGTGCTCTTTCGTAGTAAGCTGGAGAGTATTCTTACACAACAATCTTGTCAATTTTATATTTCTCTAATTTTGAGATTTGGAGAGGGGGAGTCCCCCTAAAACTTAAGCGTTGCGGATGTTTTTTTGTTAGAATAGATACAAAATCAATTTGATGCTAGAAACGCTGTTCCCTCTCGAGGAAGGGAATAACAAGCATATTTGGGGCTATATATTTGCCTTGTTCATTTTGAGTTTGCCGAGCTATAGCTGCTGAATGATGATTCTTTTATTGCTCTATTGTTGTTTTTGTTTTTTTCAAAATCCTATTGTTACTGGAGCTAGTTTTGAGACACTGCTGCTGCACCCCATACCCACGCCATCTCTGTTTGTGAGTTTTGTGCTGCAGTTGATATATGGATCCGTAAATGCAGGAGATCAAATTGAGTGCCTTCTAAGAGACCAAATTGAGTGCCCCCTATGTATGTTGGTAACCTGTGGGTGAAGGGTCAGGTTACCACTACACTTCTCTGATTTTTTTCAAGATTAAAAGATGGCGAGGTCACCTCATTCTTAGCTTGAGCCAAACAGAACAAAATGAGGGGAAACTATGAAAAACTCTTCTCTTAGACTAAGAAAAGCTGAAGTGACAAAATCTACAAGCCGGAGTAACGAAATAATTGCTAAACACCTCTGCTTTTCCTTTAGAATATTCATTAGACAACACAAACATTTTAGTAGGGATTATGCTAAGAGTAGAGCATAGAGCACGGTTTCTAAACATGGCAAATCAAACAAAGCTTGATGACAAGATTATAAGCCCGAACTATGAACCTTTTTATTTCATATTTTTCCATTTCTTAGGTCTCCAGTTTATTGCATTTACGGTGGTAAAGAGTTTTTGATCCAAACTTGACAAGAGAAGCCAGCCAAAAAAAGTACAAAACACCCCCAGAAGTCTCAGCCCCTTACAAAAAAACAAAAAACAGAAACCTTAACTTACTAGTACAATTCCTTGTGCTGGTAACTGGAGTATCAGCTTTATACTTCAAAGTTACCGGTAGGAGTATGGATTAGATTACAAGGCTGCATGGGATTAATAGTATGTATCCCCCTATTCCGCTATGCGCGTGCAGACCTTAATAGAAATCATCAACAGAGAAGCTGTCTTCAATGGATCCAAAGCTTGGCATTGGGAACACATTAGTTGAGTAATAGGTCATAGGACCCCCTACAAAATCGAAGGCAGGCTCGTTCCAGAAGCTGGTATCATAAATGAAGGACATGCCCATCTCATTATCCATTGCAGGGAAGTAAAAGCTGGACATATCCAACTCTGGTTCATTTATAAGCACCCCATTCCCATCATCTGCCGTCTGTGCATAATCAGTTAAAATCATGTCCTCCGCTTCATAACCACGAAATACTGCTCCATCTCCAGCTTTCCTAGCTTCGATGCCCTATATACGAACAGACCACATATATAGGTCACAACAAACCATAGCTTTTGACAACTGACATACATTTATAACCTTTGAAGTAACTACACCAACATAAGAATTAATTTAGCAAGCTTACATAGATCTGCTTCTGATCATTGTAATGGAGAGCAAAGTAGTCTCCTTGGCGTAATCCATGTGTTTGGACAAAATCACCTGACCATCAAGTTTCAAATCCAACAACATTAATCTGCTTTTAGTTTTAGCCCTTTAAGAAACAGAACAGAAGTAAATAAACTTGGAGAGAAAGGGCTCTCGAGATCTCACCAGTATTTTCAAGCACATACATCCGACTGCTGTTATTTGGCCAGTACCTATAAGAAAAGCATAACATTCAAGAGAAAGACTGTTGTAACGATTCATAAACTGCGTGGGCGAACTATGTCAGAACATAGCACAAGCAACTGTATTTTCTATGTTATTCTTAACCCTTCCCCCTTTCTTAAATGTTGACTTAATCAACCAATTTGTTAAGGCACTAGCAAAATATCACTATAATGCCAGGTATTAAGATTGTCATCTAGCTCAAGGATGACCAGCATCAAATAGTTTAATTGCGTTTATCTAATATGCTGGTCTTCACATCCTCGCCCGGACTCTTAAATCTATAATGCTTCACTGGCTTAGAAATATCGCTCCCTCAAGTAAATTTGAAAAAAAAAAAAAAAACCTCAGACCTGTATCTGAAACTCCAGACATGGATGCCATCCATGTCATCCATGGTTATGGGAAACCCTTCCTTGATCTCAAGAGTTGGAAGATATCGCTCAGCTGCTTTCTGAAATCATGACATAAAAGTTAATCAGCCGCAGACTGTCTGAATAACCATGGGATACACAATATTGGACAACTGCTAAATCATTAGTTTGGAAATCTTAAATGATTGCGACATTAATTCACTTCAATGTGTACTCAAAACAAAAAAAGTAAGTACAAGAGATAAGTGTTCTTAATGCATTTACAATGATGCTATAAAAAGTCCAAACCTTGGGCACGACAATTCTCCTCAGGGAGCTAACATCACTGTTCTGAAGCTGCTTGTCAAAGAGAAATCTGAACCCTGTTGGTTCAAGTGCCTGAAGCATAAACAAGCCGTTACAGGACTTACTAGTATCCAGAGCCAAATTTAGCTGAATCGTGATCGCAAGACAAAATGCCAGTTTCTTTTAAGAAATGGTACAGAGGATGACAAGGAAAATGTATGTTAACCAGAAAAAGAGGGGATGAATCTAATGAACTACATTGCTATATATAAATAAGCATTAAACATTCCTTTTCAAAAAAATAAGCATCAAACATTTTAGAACTCACTGCAATTAGTTAGCTTCAACAGAATGATCAAAGTTTGAGCTTCATTGTCTTTTATGAAGTGCCCACATATAAAACAGATTTTAAGATACTCATATCAAGTACTTATACCATAGTCCATGTAACACTCCAAATATTGGATCACCCTGTATCTGGTAGTTCGCTATATGTGGAATCGCATAAGCTATTATTTCATGTTTTTCCCACTATGTCCCAATTCGTTACCTTCTTCCAGAGGATGTGACAACAGGTGCATGAAATTTCTGCCTTCCAAGGCTATCTCACTCACACAATTTTAGGAAGATCATAAGCTGGATGGGCCATTTAAGAGATCCTTTTCACTTGAGCGATCATCATAGTAAGAAATTCTTGTCAAAAGAAAATAAAATTCTTAGTTGCAATTCAAGATATGACTCAGTTAGGTTGCAAAGTAGTTGGAGGCCTCTCTTGATTGGTAGACAATATCCCTCAGAAGTTAGTTTCCTGATTAACTTAGCAACTAAGTTTATGCACGCAGTGCAACAACAACAACAACATGCCTAGTATTATCCCACACCGTGGGGTCTGGGAGGGTAGAGTGTAACCAGACCTTACCCCTACCTTGTGAGGATAGAGAGGTTGTTTCCAATAGACCCTCGGCTCAGGAACGCAGTGCAAATGACCATAAACCCAGTTCCATCAGGAACAAGTGAAGCCATGATTGGTACGAAAGCATATCACTTGCTCTTCTTTCACTGGAATAGGTGCACAAACGTCACACATCCACCACACACATATCGTTTAGGTGGGCAACAAGATGCTACTTGTGACTTACAGTTTGGCTTGTAGCATGTAGAGACAGAACTATAAAGTCTTTGAGCTATTTCTAAAACAAAGTTCTTATAGCCTCTCATTATATTTTAGATTCTAATTTGGCTGGTTGACAGCTTAAGATTTTCCCAAAAATGCAATAAAGGATAATTATTTCTTTGCACTTTTTCAAATAGATCTTAGACATTAGATGATTTCAGTCGTGTTGTTCAAGGGTTGAATGATAATGGAACAAGGCTTACGACTAGTGAAGTGCAACAAGGCTCAAGCCGACTACTTTTGGCATTATATCTAAACCATAGTTATCAATATTTTTCGCACCACCCAATATATAACCATTGATAGAATTTAACAAGCCCCAACACAAGTAGTTTATTTCGATATATATATTATTAGGATTCCACCATAATTTTACTGAGTTATCTATAGGAGATGATTGGATAGTTGAAACAACACTATTCTTGTACTTTCTAGTTTTATTAGAAGTTTTTATGTTAGTGTAAGGATAAGTATGAGATATAGAAAAATCTTTAGTTCTAAAGAACTCCTATTTTTTTCTAAAAAGAAAAGTATTAAGTATTGGAAAGAATTGGACATATATAAGAGTAGAATAATATAGAAGAATCATACACCCAACCCCAACCGGGCTGGGATTGAGGTGTATTTGTTGCTATATAGCTACATCTAGCAATACAATTTACACAAAAGGGCCGGGTTTGCGATGGACTTATTGTTATATGTGCGATGTTTGATATAACAAGGAGATTAGGTTGTGTACATAATTATGCCTTCTTGCAAGGGTTATCTAGTATCCTCATCCTTATATGGCATAAAAAGATCTTCCTCATTTGATGAAGACTTTTTCTAATATAATTTGCTCACCAGTCACGCCAACCCGATGTCTACTTCTATACGGAAAAAAAAAGGATCACAAGGTAGGGGTAAGGTCTGCGAACACACTATCCTCCCCAGAGTGTGGGATAATACTGGTATGTTGCTGTTGTTATAAATACTTCCTCCATCGCAATTTATGTGATGGTATTTCCTTTTTAGTCTATCCCAAAAAGAATGACATATTTCTATATTTAAATATAATTTGACTTTAAACTCTTTATTTTATCTTAATGAGAAGATTTATAAACACACAAATATCTATGGCTTGTTTTACACCACAAGTTCCAAAAGTCTTTCTTTCTCTCCGCACCGAGTCTAATACTATCACATAAATTGGGATGGAGGAGTAATAATTATCATTGTCATTTTGGCGCATTTATCACACTTTTTATGAACCTCAAACTCCAAAAATGACACGATCTTTCAACCAAAAGACATCAAATAATATATGCTAGGCATCTTTGTAACTTTAAGATCTTTGTGAGAAGAAATTCAAGACACGATGTAGTTGGTAGGCTATGTTGACTAGTTTTTACTTAGGTACTCAATTCTCACGAGTTAGAGGACCATAGTGGGCTTTCCTTTTGCGCTATATTACCAAATTACTATTTAATTGGCAGCTTAAACAACTCAATATATACTACACCATTGGTTGGCTCACCTGAATGCTGACTCTTCCTTTCCTATGTTGAAATTGTAATTCGGCCAATGGCTCTGTTGTCTAACCGACTGATCATGTTGATCATATAACTGGAAGGAAACATATCAAACTAGAGGTGAACGATAAGTGTGTCCTTTGATCTCCACGTTGAGACAAGATCGACAATTTATTTGGGAGCTCAGTAAAACATTTCTTCTTAAATCATGCTGGTAGTAGAAAGAACTAGCTTGCTTTGTTCATCTTCTTATCAACCTCTAGTGCCGATGCATCATTTATGCTTTATCTATTCATCTTCATGAAATGAAAATGTTCTTTCCACGTACTTCAACATTCCCGATCTAGCAAATATGAATTGGAGTCTTGCTTTGATGATGGGAGATAAGATCCATTGATCTTAATAGAGTATTGCTCATAGGGAAAGAAAACTTGAACAACAACTAATGCAGTTGATTGGCGGATAGCCGTATCATTTTTCATTAGCCATTGGAATTTGGCACTTTATTTAATGCTTCATATTCTAGTCAAGCAAGAAGATGATATTCTTGAAACGAAAATCCATTCTCTTCATGTGCTTCAATATTGCGGAGATATCAATTGGCTATTATCATGTTAAGCTATAAATCCGTGCTTGTTTGCAATTATAGACTTTTGCTCATTTGGGAATACCTTTAATCTTTGTGGTTTTCACCTTTAAATTGAATGCTTAGTTAGAGCATTTTGACCACGAAAAAACGCTTATTTAGAGCATTACTTAATGCTTCGTCTTCTCATTGAGCAAGTTGGTTGATGATAGTTGTTTTATTATGAAAAATCACTTTTCCTTTAATGTTTCCAAGGCTTAGTTGACCATCATCTTCCTAATCTTGCCGTATATCATTCAATGATGTGTCGTCTAGTCAAGCATCTAGACAACTAGGCAAGTTTTTAGTGTATTATTACGTAATTAATCATTTAAAGAAGGTATAATTTCCATATACTCCATCACTCTGGAAGGCTTGATTCACTATCACTCTAACCTTGCATAGTTGCATTGAATGATTTAAAAAAAATTCTTCTCCGGATAAAGGAAATCTATAACTAAATATATATCTTATTGCTTTAGATACTTAATTTCATACCATGGATTCTGTTTCATTAATATATCTCGAATTATCTCAAGTTAGCTTGATCTTACATAAGTGCCATTATAGGCAAAGACACCATTGTGACTTGATCTTACATAATTGACCATTATAGGCAAAGGTGCCACATACTTCAAATTAAGGACCTATTTTAGCTTCTTCGGTCCTCTTCCAACTGTTGCAAACGCCACGGCATAAGGTCGTCCCGGATATTGGACCCTCAAATTTTCAATCTCGATTTTCACAGGGAACTCTTTCTTAGGTTAAAATCCAAAATAAACAGAACCTACAATACAAATATGTAATCCCCCTAAGCAGCACTGAAAATTGCAGCACTGAATGCAGCATGAACAAAAGGTAGGCAAAGACAAGGTAGAGCAGGGATGTGGTAAAGACATTGCTCTTTTCTTCACTCCAGTTAAGGATAGTAGGAATAAAAAAGAATGTCCTTTTGATGATTAATCAACAGAAAGATAATCCAAAAATATTTGGAAGTTGTAATTTGTATGGTAGGCATACCCATAGGGTGAAGGAGTTGATGATATTACTAGAGAAATTCTTTGTGAGGGATTGTAGCTACGAGATTAAATACAATATGGGGATTGGGCTGGTCCAGGCCCACCCAATTGCCATGTAGTTGGGTTGGACCCGGCCCATTTGACATGTCTAGGAGGTGTCCATTATATATAATTTAGCTATACTATAAGTTTGTCACACTAATGGGGAGAAGCAGCTAAAAGAGGGAATGGATCTCTTAAAGTCAAACGCAAATAAAGTGTGTCAAACTCAAACAACATTAGCACCCGCTATTTCTACTTACTAAAGTAGAAATCAGTGGTACACTTCGCCAATGCAGAATTAGTACTAGTTTAATTAGTCTGTCCAACTAAAAGCAACAAAAATTAGAGCAGAGTATCCCCCAAATTAAGAAAAATCCCCCAAATTAAGAAAAATACTGAGTAGAAGCCAACCAGATAGTCGAATTGATCTCCTACCACTCCAACAAGAACATATAAACGAAATCTCGAGAATTAATTACTCCTTCATTTTTAACCGGCGGTCTCGGGTTCGGGTCCCTGGATATAGAGTCGTCTTTGTTAGGGAGCTTTTTACGCCAATGTGGGACTTGCTGGCGCGAATCCGGATTTAATCGGGCCCCAATGTGGGTACCGGATACCGGATGAGCAACCAAAAAAAAAAAGGAAATCTCGAGAATTAATCCAAAAGAATATAAATTAAAGAGAGGAATAAATGGAAGTGAAAGATGTAGTAGCAGCAGCAGCAGGGGAGATCACAGTGTAACAACTCCAAATTAAAATAGCGTCAAAGAAGGGGTATGATTTTTCCATTAACAGATATTTCACCCACCAACATAGGAATTTTTTTTGTTTTTGTTTGGGCAAAACATAAAATTAAAATGGCAAAACATAAAATTAAAATGGCAATAAAAGAAAAGTGTAATTTAGTTGAGATGATAAAAATTACGGAGTGCTAATAAAGGAAGAAAAGTGATTAGTAAGAGAGTAAGTAAAAAAGGTGGGAGAGAAAGCATACACGTGCGACAGGCATAGGAGGAGGTGGTGGCACGTGGGAGAGGAAGGATGGGAAATCCAGGAGAGAGCCAAAGTTGATAGAAGAACGCCTACGCCTCTGGCTGCGACTTCTTTTGGTGGTCTGATAAGGCTGACCATTCAAAATATCAGTAGGAGTTGCAGCCTCAAAAACACCATTCATAGACGTAGGAGTATTGGCAACAAGTGCTGCATTTCCATCTGCCATCACTCCATACGCCTCGGTCATCGCCATTATCGATCAACTCCTTCTACTCCACCACCAATGCTTAATTCTGTAAAAAGCTCTTTTTCCTCTCTTTTTGTGATATTGAAAATTGGGGGAGTTTTCGGTGAGTGGGTGGGAGGATTGTGTCATTATTATCACCAAACTGGCTGAGATTAGTGGGTCTGGCGTTTTGCTACCAAATGGCACTGATGCGATTGACATTTGTGCAATCCTCATTCAGGAGAGAACCTTTAATAATTTGTTTTTTTTTCCCTCTCGTCGAGTAAAAGATAAAAAGAAAGAGAGTGTAATGTAATGAGCCAAAGGGGTACTGTGGGGGCAAGGGAAGTTGGGACTTGGGAATATTTCCAAAATTTAATGAAGGAGGTTTACTTCAAACGGATTCATAATAAAAATTAAGTGGGTGAGGAGTTGTCACTTTGTCTTTGTTAAGTGTGAACGGTAGAAAAAAGGGAGGGGGGGGGGGGGTTTATAATGGACAAAGAATGTGACGGATGGAGAAGAGGGAGGAAAGCCAGGTGTTGAAAAAGCTCTGATTTCTTGCTAACTGAAATCAATGGTGCTTTCTTGCTTTGGAGTTTCCGTCATTTCTGCCTTTTTATCTTCACTTGCTTCACTCTATAGTCTATACTATACTATATATGGAGAAAACGATGGAAAGACAGACTTATGTTGTGGGAATGGTGGAGGGTTTAATTCATTCATGGCTTATTAATTTGTATACAGTGAGGGGCTGGTTTTATGGACTTAAGCAGTTTTTCTTGGTAATTTTTAAGTGCGACATGGACTCCCGCTTCTCCTCTCTTGCTGCCACGTCTCACCTGCCTCTTTTGCAACCGGAGCCCCGATTCGTTCTGATTTAGTTTGGTCAAAATAGCACGGTATAGCCAGTTTTCGGACTGGTCATTCAAAAATAGCCAGCGTTTACCAAGTCAATGAAAAATAGCCATTATTTTGTTGCAACAGAGACCGGTCCAGCATAATATACTGGAGTTCGGTGCACCTGTGTATGAACTCCAGCATATTATGCTGGACCGGTATACTTTGCTGACTCCAGTATAATATACCGGAGACTGGAGCACCGGTGCTCCAAACTCCAGTATATTATGCTGGACCGGTATACTTGCTGGAACTCCAGTATATTATGCTGGAGTTCTAGTGTACTTATGCTGGAACTCCATCATATTATGCTGGAGTTCCAGCATACTTATCCTGGAACTCCAGTATAATATGCTGGAGTTCAAGTATACTTATGCTGGAACTACAACATAATATACTGGCGTATTTTCCGGGTTTTGAACAGTGTTTTTGCTCAGATTTATCTTTACATGAAAAGTGGCTAAATTTCGATTACTTTTGAAACTGGGCTATTTTTGAACGACCAGTTGTAAATCTGGCTATTTTTAAATTTCTCCCTTTAGTTTGACATTGATTTCAAATTTTTAATTGGTCTGATTTGTATTTGATTTTTGCTTAATTAAACTGAGATATTTTCTACTACTATTTTTTGTGTGAATTTCTTCATCTAGACTATTCTTTTAGTAATAAAAAAAGAAAAACAGTCCGACGCACAAATCATTCCATGTTCAAGCAAGGTCTGTTGAAGGACGGCACCCAAGGGATGTGACGTAGATAGCTTATTCTAATGCAAACATTGTATTGGAGAAAATGAATATTACACGTGGAATTAATTATGCGGCTGACATGGCAAGACACGTGAATCACTAGAAAAGCGATAGCTGGAGAAGATCATTAAAAAAGACGTGAGTCTTAATATATACGAGCAAAACACCCACGAGATGAGAAGAAACGGTTGCTTGAGTCTCTTTAGCGATTTGAAGAGGCACTGGTGGTATGAACCAAGACAGTAAAAAGGGCAGATTCATTGGTCTTCAATTAATGAGCATGGATGATTACAAACGTTACAAAATCTTCACGAAACAGTTACGATTACCAATTATAACGTTTCATTAATGTCATTAATGCTCATAATGACTCGGCCATAAAAGGGAAAAGACGTTGTACTTGGAGATCACTATATAAGGGAAAGAAATGTCATTTGTATGGACACGTTCTGATTATTATTGGAATATAGTTACTTTCTTTTGCTTTCTATTGATTACTTTGCTATTTCATATTCTAATTTCCTTTCTTATTATGCAAATATTGATTTTCTTGATTATCAGTAGCCCTAGTACTTCAAAAAATAGGCTTTGATCGAAATTTCTATTTTTTGATTAAACAAACATTAGTGGCTACTTCCACAGCTTAAACACGTGACCTATAGGTTACACGAAAATAACTTTACTAAATTATTGTGATCAATGCTTACAAAGGTGGATATTCTGAGTTTTTTTACTGATATGTTGAGTTTAACATTTAAAATAGATAAAAAATAAATGGGTCATACGACTAGTCATTGTTGGGATCGAAAATAACAAGGTGTCATGCGGAAGCAAACATAGTAAACGTTGGCGAGGATAAATCAAACGACACGAAAAAGTATATTAAAAGAGACATACTTAATATTTTAATATGTGTAACGACTCAGCCTGTCGTTTCATGAATTACCGCTCCGTTTTCTCCTTTTCTGCTTTTTTATGCTTTGTTCATCTGTGTTATATGGTATCGGGTTGCCCGGTTCGAATTCGGAATGATTTTGGAAAGGTTTTGAGACACTTAGTCTCTTAAGTTGGCCTTGTAGTTGGAAAAGTCAACCGGAAGTTGACTTGTGGGTAAACGATCTCGGAATTTGGTTTTTATGATTCCTATAGCTTTGTGAGGTTATTTGGGACTTGGGAGCGCGATCGAAATGTGATTTGGAGGTCCGTGGTAGATTTAGGCTTGAATTAGCGAAATTGGAATTTTGGCGTTTTCCGGTCGATAGTGAAAATTTTGCTATCGGGGTCAGAATGGAATTCCGAAAGTTGCAGTAGGTCCGTTGTGTCATATGTGATGTGTGTGCAAAATTTCTGGTCATTCGGACGACGTTTGATAGACTTTTTGATCAAAAGCGGAATTCAAAAGTTTTTGAAAAATCTTAGGCTTGAATCCGATGTTATTTTGTTATTTGACGTTGTTTTAGGTGTTTTGAAGATTGTTATAGGTTTGGATAGTGGTATATGACTTGTCCGTACTTTTGGTTGAGGTCCCGGGGGCCTCGTGTGTGTTTCGGGTTGTATTGCGCTCTTATTTGATGTTTCAACGTCGTTTCTTTGGGAATAATGGGTATCACATTAAGCAAATGAGCTCCAAATTCAATTTTTGTTGAATCATTAGATCCGTATCGTAATTACAGTGCCATATCAAAAAGAATCATCGAATTTGGACATCGTATGAGGAAGTTATGCTCATTTTTGTATCGGGAAAAACTGCTGCTTCTGGTATGATCGCAATTGCGAACATATCCATCGCAATTGTGATGCCCAGTTCGCAATTGCGAACTTTTTGTCGCAAATGCGACCTTTTCCAGCCCTTCCTTGTTCGCAATTGTGAAGGCTTTCTTCGCTTTTGCGAGGGTTCGCAATTGCGAACCCTGGATCGCAAATGCGAGATCTGCACCTTGTTTTCAGCTGTGTAACTCGGGTTTTTTGCATATTTTTCATATTCTTTGAACTCTAACTCCGAGAGTGGGCGATTTTGAGAGAATATTTTCATACCAAATCATTGGGTAAGTGTCTCTAATCAATTTCCAACTATATATTGTGATTATATCTTAGATTTAACATCAAATTCATGAGAATCTAAAGGAAAATTTGGGGAAAAAATTGTGAAGTCTTTCAAAAATGTAAAATGATGATTTGAGGGACCAAATGGTGTCGGAATTAGATAATTTTCGTATGGGTGAACTCAATCGGAATGGGTATTCAGTTTTTGTAAATTTGTCGGGTTCCGAGGTGCGGGCTCGGGGAGTTGACTTTTGTTGACTTTTTGCAAGTTATATAAGAATCATAGTTTTGTTAATTGAAATTGTTTTCTCTTGCATTATTTGATGTATTCAAGTCATTTTTGGCTAGAATGAGTCGAGCGTTGATGAATTGGTAAAGGAAAGCTAAATTGAATATTGAATTGGTCGGATTGAGGTAGGTATCTTGCCTAACCTCGTGTGGGAGACTTCCCCTTGGGAATTGAGTCTTCTATGTTGATTGTAGTCCGTGTACGCGAGGTGACGAGTGCGTGTTCGTACTTATTTGTGAAAATTTGGCCTTTTAGAGTTCTTAGGTCCATGTATTCACTGAGTATGTAGTTGTTCTTGATATGATTGAGCTTCCATTTACTAGTTTCACCTCTACATGCTTTAATTGTAATTAATTGCTTTATGATTCATTCTTATTGCCTATTTGACTCTTATTTTGCTTAATTGAAGATTTTTACCTCTTCTATTGTCATGCTATCTTTCATAACTGCTTGTCTTTATTGGAAACCATTATTATCTCTCTTGTAATTGTTTAGTCTTAATTGAGGTTATGATTGTCTTCTCGCTGCTCATCCTTAATTGAAATTGTTGTATATTCTTCGTAATTTGCCCAGCCTTAAAAAAAGTTTAGTATCCTATATTTAGTTGACATTTCCTTATTTGGAATTATTTGATTCGTGTTAGCTTCCTTGTTGTTGAACTACATATTGTGGGATCGTTGCTTCACATTATTTTCTCCCTTGTTGAGTTGTTCTTATTACGCTTAGTATTCTCTATTGTGGTTATTCCTTGTGAGTTAGTTTTACCGTCTCCTTGTGATCGAAAGTTCTCGAGTTGATTTACTTGTCGTGTTCTTGTATATATTGTCATTGTTGCTGTGGTACTTGTTGTGGTGGCACACGAGGTTTCTGTCGTGCGGTTGTTGATATTATGATGCACGAAGTATCTGCTGTGCGGTTATTGTTGTAGGGTTGCACGAGGTTTTTGCCGTGCTGTTGCTACTATTGACATATTGCACATACGGCGTGACAAGGCGGGATATGTATATATATATGCTTATATGTGGGTTGCGCATGTGGCGAGTCAAGGTGGGAACATTATGATGCACGTGTGGCAAAACAAGGCGGGGACTTATTATGTTATTATTTGCACACGTTCTGAGACAAGGTGGGCTATGTCAGGGATTGATTGTGGTGATTTGTG